CTTGGTTTTATAGTCTGTAACAGGTCGAAAGAGTGATTAAAAATAGGAAAATAATTGGTACACCTTTGGTTCAATACATTTTTTAATGCACTCTCGGTTTAGTCATTAAAAATATAATATAAATATATCAATTCAACCGGTTTTCATATTCTGTGTGCATAATTATATTATTAAATTTGTTTGTATTTAATTTCAGACTAAAAAAATAATGATTTTTTAATGAGTGTATTATGCAGTGTGTTGAATCGGAGTATGTATAAATCATTATCCTTAAAAATAATAGCATCTCTACGTTGCTGAATTAATTAATAAAGCTAAAACCATGGAAAAGCTGAAAAATTTAAAAACAAGAATATGGTAAAGAAAAAGAAGAAGAAGAAGGAATAACTAAGTTGCAAGTTATGCTAATTGCTAGAGGAAAGAAATAATTCTGGAAATAAGAAAAAGACACATTAGAAACATCTGCATTTCATGCTGAAGAGTCTTGTTGAAATGTAATTTGAGTTGTGTTAATACCTCAACATAAGTTGAAGATTCTAAGTTATTAATTTTTTAAATTATTTTTTTAACTTTTATTTTAAATACAATGTTAAGGGTGTAATTAATGTACATTTTTAGTTATTAAGTCATATGAAAAATAAAATAAAAAAATTGATATTAATTTTAGCATTAAAGTCAAATTTTATTTTTTTTATGTAACTTAATGATTAAAACTTTATTAAAAAACCATTTTTGAGTGAATTATCTCTATAACATAACAAAATTTCTCTCCATGCTAAGAGCAAAGCTTAGTTCCATCAATATTCCATAGAGTTAATTTTTAGCAGCTTCAGTTATTGGAATGGAATGAGATTCCAAGGGAAATGAATAATATCACGTGTTACCTTTTTTGTTGGGCCATTCACGTGTTACTAGATGTTACCGACAAAGTAATGTGCTGCTACCTGTAGCTTTTGTTTAATTCAAGTTTTCTAAATATATTCTCCTTGAATTTCACCCCATGCCATGGGGAACAAAATTGGAAGTTATTTGTCATATCCAGCTAGAAGGATAGTTTGAAATGAGAAGTTCCATTCAAGATTAATCAGGCATACAATGTGAATATGCTACATATAAAATATATCAAATTAAACTACCCTGTATTATTTAACTATTTAATAAAACTCAGATGTTATGTTTGCCATTTGATGTTAGTATTCATTAAAATTTAAATAATGCTCTTGAACATCAAGAATAGTTGTTTATATTAAACAATTAATTAATACTTTTAAGAGTCATAGTTCTCTAACTGGAGATGTGATGAGAATAAAACAAATTAATATACGAGACATGAAAACTTGAAATAAATGGGAGATGTGATGAGAATAAAAAAGTTTACTATGTCCTTTCTTATTTAGTTGTCCTACTCTTTTCTTTTCTTCTTTTATAAATAACTAAAATGACAAGTAATCCTTTGAGATTAATTTAATTGGTTAAGAAATAATATTAAGCTTATATATACCAATAGATGGCTTTCCACTATCTAATCCTACTCACTATTTACAATTATTCAAAAGTTTGATTTATTTTACTATGACATATGATATGTCCAAACGTAATGAATACAATTTACATTGTTAATTAATTTATGGCTGTTTCTCACTTTACCAATGAAGTCTTGCCCAATAGCAGAGCTAACAGGGGCTTAAGGGGCCAGGCCTCACCTAAGCTTTTGGAAAATTGGGACTTTTGGTTCCTTAAAATTTTATTCTTATTGTGTTATCTAAATAGTTTTATTATCTTTTTAGTTATTTGTTATTATTGAGTGATAGAAAGAAAGATGAAAAATAAACATTAATTGAATGAAAAAAAAATTCAATATTGTTCATTCACAGAATGTTTACTAATAACTTCTTGTTTCGCTTCTTTTAATTAATAGTGTTCTTTTACTCATTATATAAGTTCATTTTGTCTTTGAATTGAGTGGCATTTATGTTACATTATCTACCACTATTTATTTATCGCAAAGACTAATAAAATTTTTAATTATAATAAATTTTTAATTTTTTTTTCTCTTTTATTGACTTTTTAATTTATATATAGACACATCATTTCTTAGTTAATAATCCATTTTGCACCCCCTAAAAAATATTTTTGGCTCCATGACTGGTCTTGCCACATGTAAGTTGTATATTAGATGATATCAAAAAGTATGTAATAGAATTAGCAAATCCAAAATCCCATTAATTTTACGTATGATTATAAATTTTACTTGTAACTATATATACATATAAATTTTTGTTTAGAATTCAAAACATTATTTCCACTCAGTGTCCTTCTTCCTTGCAAACTTCTTCAACAATCTAAAACACTACATAGGACTTAATTTTCAAAAAACTCACAATATAATCAAATACATTATTCACCAATAGTACTGCCAAAACGAATATGTGAGGAGTTTTAATTGTACAGATGATTTTTAGATTAAAAAAATTCAATATAATATCCTAGGAATAAGCAGCTTCACAAACTTATAAATGCCGACGAAAGCACTCTTGAGGTATGCTATGTACAAACCGAACTGCACAATCACATAGACGCAGACTGGAAGGAATGCAGCGGCATACGTTAGAGTCGTAGTCCATGCCTTCTTCAAATGAACAGTGAGGATAATGGCAGCTGTGAAGGAAAGCACGGTGGTTGCAATGGCAAAGGACAGAAAGAGGAAGCCAGCTGACAGTTTTGCCGGTATTTGATATTGAAAATCTTCCAGTTCAAGTGATGATGTGAGCACCGAAAGGAAGAGCACCACCGACGTTAATGAGCTTGCCAGTCCGGCCACGTCCATCACAGTGAAAAAGGAGTACAGAGGCTTGTCCTCAAAGACTGGACTTCCGTTATCTTCAAAACAAATAAAAGAAAAAAAAAATAATTTTGATATGGCAGCTTGTAAATGACAAATTAGATCTTTGTGAGGAGAAGAAAAAAAGAAGTTTACTTAATTACCTCTGAAACCACCTGGGGCGGTGAAGGCGGCGGCGAAGACAACCGTAGCGACTAGGACTGCCACGGTTGAGCATGACTGAGAAGTGTTCTTGACCCATTCTTGGGCCTCTTTCAGTTGTTCTTTGTGCTGGTCTTTTAACAGTTGCTTCGCCGTACGATTCTTGTTGTTGAGGTGGATTGTGTAATGAGCAGGAACCATTTTTTCCACCTTCTGCAAAATCGCAACAAGAATTCACAATTCTTCAGGAAATATTTAATTCAATTGTTAAAAGTTTGTTCGGTTTGAAAGAACTAGAGCAATATCATTTTGATCAATCAAATTTTTTTTAAACGGTTTTCTTGGGAGATCAATGGTTAGTTGTTTGCATATTATAGAAATTTAAACTACTAACTTTGATTTTTTTTTTTAAATTAATAGGTACTAATTTAATCAACTCTTGTTCGTAAATTTTTTTAAATAATTGAAATGGTCTTTCCTTCTTTCCTTCTTTCTCTCCTTTTCTCCACTTCTCTTAAATTCTATGTGAAACCGAATAGACCCTAAAAACCAAACAGAACCTAAATGGTAGTTAATGAATTTAGAGAAACAATTGATCAAGGCTTACTGCGAAACATGTCAGCTCCTCTTGCAGTTTCAGAGCCGCTGTCGATGTGGTACCTCCACTATAGTGTTTTGTAGAGGCGGCTTTGTGCAGAATGGTGTCACCCTCGTTGTCGATTCCTAAAGCCAACCTCTGCAGCACCACTTTCCTCTCCATCTTGATGCGATCAAAGATGTGGTTACGATGTAGAATGGCAACGTGCAGAATATTCTGTCCATTACTGGCCACGTACTCGAATGCTTGAGGATACACGTTGAGAATCTCCTCCACAATCTCCAAGATTCCTGTCTTGGTGGCAATAATCAACGGAGTATCCGGCTGTGACTCAGTGGTGGCGGTGGTGCCAACACATATGGCTTGGGACGACGCCTCCCCTGTTTCTTCGTCTCCCCCCTGATCGTCTCCTGAAAAGCGAACAATGTTGTTGTGCCCTTCTTCGTTGTAGTGCTCACGCCACGAGCAAGAATCCATCTTTACCAGCATCTTGGCTAATTCAACTGCAGTCTGATGCTTCTTTTTCATTTTCCCAATTTCCTTAATCAAATTCCATCCTGAAAAGAAATAAATTTTAATTAGAAATTCATAGAAAATTATTTTAGCTAATCAAATTGTTTTCGTTAACACAATGATTGGTCGAAGTAAAGTGACCTCCCATCTCCCTCTTTTTTCCACAAACCAAATAAGCCATTAAGAAAAATAAGGAAATTATTAGGGTGCGTACTTTCAGCTAGAAACATCCAAAGATCATCGTACATGCGTAGACCTGCATTAAGGAAAATTTTGAAATTTCAATTATAGTTGCAACTCACTTTACAAGAAGCATAAATGCTCAAAATTAATACACACATATATTCTTTATCATTGTTAGACAGCGCATCCTAGTCTCAGTGCTCTGACTTGGTACATCCTGATCAGTTTCATCTCTATAGACTAAGTTGCCTGGAATACCTGAAAACAAAAACGCCAAATTGAGTCATTGGTACTAGAATTAATCTGTTTTTCTGCCTGTATGATTGTAGTTTGCAATGAACTTACATATATATATAATCTTCAAAGCAGACATTATGGAAGAGGAACTTTTGAAAGCAGTCGGCATGCTTGCGAGAATGTGAAGACATGTCTTCCCATAATATTTCTTTGTCACCAGCTCTGGATCTTTGATTAGTAACCAAATAGCTGTCTCTGCATTTAATAGACAATTCTCATGCATTTCTCAAAGGTAAAACAAAAAATGTGTTTTGTAGTTGAAATTGCTTCAACTACCAAACTACAATCCCTTGCTCAAAGGGGCCCCTTGGGTTTCAAGACACAGAACCAGCTGATTGTAGTCATGAGTTAAGTCTATGTGAAAATTGTGTATGTGGGTTTCAGAAGAAAACTTACATCTGATCTAAAACCCATTGATCATAGGTGAAGTGACTTTTTTTGTATTTAACCCACTTATTTTTTTTGTTATACACTCGATGTGTTATACACTTGACATGGATTTTCTACTCAACAATCTAAAATTAAATCAAATGAGCAATACGCACCAAATTTTTCATTCATGATAGCAATATGAAGAATGGAGAGGTTATCAGACGTTCTTGTGAAGTGATCATCTCGCAGATTTCCCTGATCTTGTATTTCCACCTCATTTGCCAAGTACTCCACTGTTGCTTTATTGCCAAATGCTGCAGCCCTGTATAGCGCCGTCTCCCCTAAATCATTGCGGTCCATCAGCATCCTCGATCGTCCTTCATGTGCAATCTCAACCAAGAACTTTGCTGCCTCAACATTGTTGCTCGTGGCCACCTCGTGGAGAAGGGTGTTGCCATGATTGTTCTTCATCCTGACCGCTTCACATTTTCTAGGCATTGCAACCATATCGAAGAGAACTCGAAGCAGATCTATGCTACCCATGTATGCTGCAATGTGGAAAAC